ACTTAAACATACAAATGCGAAACTTGAAGAAGTCCTGCGCAAAGTATGAAGAACGATTGGGAGAACTAAACAGTCTATCGAAACAGGATAAATGGGGAGAACTGTCTAGTTGGACAAAAGAAAACGAAGAAAACAGTAAAGAAATCTTAGAATATGCGCACAAAGCTATGAACGAAGGCGCAGATAGACAAAGGCGCGTTTCAGCTACACCATCGCTAAGTTCCAAGCGTACTAGACATACGACCTCGTCTTGTAGCTCCTCTTCCTCGACAAAGGAAAAGACAAGAGCATTAGCCGAAGTAGCAGCAGCCAGAAAAAAAAGCAGAATTTGATCGAATTATGGCGGAAAAAGAGAACAAAAGGAAATGGCAGGAAGCCGAAGAAGAACTACGACAAAAACAAAGGCGCGCACAGTACGAAAAAGATATGGCTATGCTGGCCGCAGAAAAAGTCGAAGCCATGGCCAGCGCCAAACTTCAAGCTATCGAACAAGCTATTTGCGAAGAAGAGGAGCTTTTGTTTCTCGCAGAGCAGAAAGACGTAGAAGAGAAAGAGTCGTACAAGGGAATGGGTGACAACTCAGGACGAACCAGCACAAACGTCCGAAATACCGAACGATGGCGACATTCTGGCAACAGTTAACAACCAAAACATCGTTGAAAACGACACAGAGGCAAAACATGAGGCGAGCCAAAGTCAGAATCGAGGAGGGATCGAAAATGCCCATGTGCGAACTAGAGAGACGTCTTATACTCCCAAGGGATTCGCGGGAAATCCACCGATCTTTAGACCTATGGAGACCAATCAAGAAACACAAGGTCTAGAACAATGCATTGGGGGAATAACCAAGACGAATGAGCAAATCATAACGACTTTAGCAAGACAAAGCCTACCGAAGTGTCATCCGGACGTATTTGAAGGGGACGCAACGTTATTCCATCCTTGGAAAAATTCCTTTAAAGTAATGATCCAAGATGCAAAACTTAATCCATTGCAAGAAATGACGTAATTACACTAAAGGAAAAGTGCAAGACCTGGTGGACAACTATAGAAAGAGACAGCAAATCGATCTTTCGGATACTGTTCGAGAACTGTGGACAGAGATGGAAAGAAGATTCAGAAATAAGGCCGTTATCACAAACTCTCTTTTAGAGAGACTACGAGGTGCAGCGAAATTTAACGGACGAGACAAATCCAAGCTACAACAATTCGCGGACATTTGTATGGACGTAGATAACCAGATGACAAACCTACCAGGACTCGCTTGTCTCAACTACCCAACAGCAATTCGACCAATAGTCGACAATCTGCCAGGATTCCTCAAGTTCAAGTGGGAGAAGAAGGTTGTTAGCTTCGCAGAAGAAAACAACGATGCTTATCACAGATTCCATAAGTTTGCGACAATGATCCAAAAACAAGCTAAGCTAAAAAATCATCCAAATGTCTGTGCAGGCGAGACGGTTCACGACCGCCCCTTTATGAATAATGACAAGAGACACGACGGAGAGTTCGGAAACAAGTACAAGACCCTGAGGACCGAAGCGAAAGGTGAGGAAGGCCACCCAAGAAACGAACGCGAGAAACACTGTATCTTCCACGATCGAAATGGACATGAGTTGACTGAGTGTAAAGCGTTCGACATAAAGAGCTTGGACGATAAAATGGAATGGCTAATGTCAGCTGGTCTCTGCTACCGATGTCTAGCTGGAAAGTACCGTGCCAAAGAATGCAAGAAAGGAGTTAAATGTGCTAAGTGTGGCAGTACCAGACATCCCACGACACTGGATAAAGAAAAGGAGAAAGAAAAAGAAAAACTACCCGAGAAAGATCAAGGCGAGGAGTGCAAATCGAAGTGCACATCTATATGCGAAGGAAACACAGGAGGACGGTTGTGTAGCAAGATTGTGCTTGTTGACATCCAAACAGAAGACAACACGCAAAATGTCCGTAGAGTCTACGCAATTGTCGACGAGCAGAGCAACGCATCACTAGTTACGCGTAATCTTGCCGATCTATTGGAGATAGATACTCCAAAGGAGAAATACCAACTTTCAACCTGTAGTAGTAAAAGAGAGACAAGGTATGGTCGCAGAATATCTGGAGCCATTGTCAGGTCGCTAGATGGAACAGTTTGCAAGCTACCCAAATTAATAGAATGTGATAAAATACCTCAAGATAAGAGCGAAATACCGACGCCCTTGATGACCAAGCACTTCCCCCACCTCCAAGAGATATCCAACGAAATTTCACCTTTCGATAATAACACAGGAATTGAATTACTCATTGGTAGAGATGCGCCAGAATTACTAAAAGTACGAGCTTTCCGAAACGGCCCAAAGGGAGCGCCATGGGCGCAAAAGCTGCTTCTCGGCTGGACAGTCTCGGGTGAAATGTGCCTCGATCGTATCGGAGGTCCAGTCCACGTGTCTGCACGCCAGACGGCAGCTCAAACCGAAGGTATAAACAAGAACAGTTCAGGCAATTGGGAAATGCCCCTCCCCTTACGTGAGCAAAATGTGGCCATGCCCAACAACAAGACACAAGCGCTCAATCGTCTCAACGGTCTTCTACGAAGTTTTAAAAAGAACCCACAGAAACAACGAGACTACCTTGAGTTCATGTTGAAGGTTTTCCAACGCGGACATGCTGAAGCGGTAACCGCTAACGATTCGTCACAAGTCGAGAAGGACTCTCGTGTAGCAGATGCAACATCTACAAGCCCCACTACCGGTCGAGTATGGTATCTACCCCACTTCGGCATATATCATCCAAAGAAACCCGACCAAATCCGGGTCGTATTTGACTCCTCCTGCGAATACCAGGGTGCATCGCTCAACAAAGAACTACTGGTAGGCCCGGACCTCATGAATAACCTACTCGGTGTTCTGATCAGACTTCGTCAAGAGAACTACGGAGTGATGTGTGATATCGAACAAATGTTCTATTCCTTTCACGTCAATCAAGAGCACAGAGACTTCCTTAGATTTCTTTGGTATAAGAACAATGATCCCGAGCAAGATATAACCGAGTACAGAATGACCGTGCACCTCTTTGGAAATGGACCAAGTCCAGCGGTAGCAACCTATGGAATGAGAAGGACGGCGGAAGAGGGCGAGAAAAAATACGGAAAGAAAATAAAAGAGTTTGTCAATAGAAATTTTTACATCGACGATGGGCTCGCATCCTTGCCTAGCGAAAGCGAAGCGATAGACTTAATCCATAAAACGCAAGAGTGTTTAAAGACCGCCAACCTACACCTACACAAAGTTGCGTCTAACTCTGCAACAGTCATAGAAGCCTTTCCACCAGTCGACCGAGCAAAAGGTCTACAAGATCTCGACCTGTGTCATGACCATCTTCCGATTCAACATGCATTGGGCGTTCAGTGGAACTTAGAAGAGGACAAAATAACGTTTAACGTATCTATTCCAGACAAACCATTCACACGCCGCGGAGTCTTGTCCGTCGTTAACTCTCTACATGATCCATTGGGACTAGCAGCACCAGTCGTTATCGTTGGCAAACTTATATTGCAAAAGTTGCTCGTCTTCGGAAAGGACAAACAGAACAACCAACCTTTGAGATGGGACGACCCTCTTCCTGAGGACTCAGTTCCCGTTGGCAGCACTGAAAAGATCAACTTCCAGAGTTAGAGAGTCTATCCGTGGATCGTTGCTACCATCTGAAAGAATTTGGGCCAGTCATTCGGAACAAAGTCCACACGTTTTCCGACGCAAGCAAATTGGCCATCGATGTAGCCGTGTACCTTAAGCAAGTCAACGAAAATGGCCAAGCGAGCATAAATCTCATTTTTGGTCAAGCGAAGGTAGCACCATTGCAAGCGACCAGCATCCCCCGACTCGAGCTATGCAGAGCTGTGTTGTCCGCCAAAGCCGTTAAGAAGTTGAAGACCGAGCTTGACTTAAAGATCAATGTTGTTCTATTCTACACCGATTCCAAGGTTGTACTGGGATATATCAGAAACGAAGTTCGTAGATTCCACATTTACGTGGCTAACCGCGTGGAGAAGATCAGGGACGCTTCGGATCCGAGTCAGTGGAGGTATGTGGACACTTCCTTAAACCCAGCAGACCTTGCATCGCGTGGGACAACTGCGAAAGAACTGACAGATTCAGATTGGTTGAAAGGACCTCTCTTCCTAGAGACCCAACTGAACATACCAACTCCGGAAGTCGAAGAGAGTTCTATTGATCAAAATGACCCTGAAGTCCAAAGAGAAATCAATGTTCACATTGCGAATGTAAACGACAAGATCGGACTCGGTAAGAAGCGATTCGAACACTTCTCTAGTTGGACTAAAGTTCAGCGCGCGATTGCCTATCTTGTGTCAAAACTCTCACTGCAGAAGAAAAACCGAAACACGAGAGAAGAAACTGAACCGACAATCAAACACCAACTCCCATCACAAGAATCTATAAAACGGGCCACATCAGCCATTGTCAAAGCGGCAAAGAGAAGCCTTCCCAGACGAAGTCAACCTACTTGCAAAGAGCAACGGTGAACTAGAAAGTCAACATCACTTGAGAAAAAGACGGAAAGTATTACGTAAATCCGATATCGTGCGTTTAGACCCCTTTATGGACGAAGATGAAGTTTGCGAGTAGGCGGTCGCCTGAATCGATCCAATCTGACGTTCGAAGAAAAACATCCAATCCTTTTACCAAAGAAACATCATATATCTACCCTTATAATCAGGCACTGTCACAAAAAATCCATCATCAAGGACGCTTGATCACCCATGGAGCAGTTCGTCAAACCGGGTTCTGGATTGTCAACGGACATGGAGCAGTTTTTCAAGTAGTGAACGCCTGTGTGACATGTAAGAAACTCAGGGGGAGAGCTCTCACACAACAAATGGCAGACCTGCTGAGAGACCGAGTGGAAACGTCAGCGCCATTCACCTTCGTCGGGATAGACGTTTTCGGCCCATGGTATATAAAGATAAGGAAGCTAAGAGGTGGTGCTGCGAATGCAAAACGATGGGGCTTGGTGCATTGTGTCGCTTCTTCGCCCTCTGTGGCTCTGTCGCTGTCATCAGATGTGACTGTGGCACGAACTTCGTCGGGGCGAAATCAGAGTTTGAGAAAGCAATCACAGAGATGGATAAGGAGAGAATTGAGAAATACGTTAACGGACAGGGATGCGAATGGAAGTTCAACCCACCCCATGCCTCCCACTTTGGTGGCGTGTGGGAACGCCAAATAGGAACAATCCGTAGAATCCTTGATGGCATGCTATTGAAGATAGGATCCTCCCAGCTTGATGACGAGCTACTGCTTACGCTGATGGCAGAGGTAACCGCGATAATTAACAATCATCCGATCTCAGCTATATCCGCTGACACCGATGAACCGATTCCTTTATCGCCAGCAGCGCTACTCACCCTGAAACAAAGACCTGTCGCACCACCTCCTGGCAAGTTCGTTCCAGAAGATCTTTACGCTCGCCGACGATGGAGGAAAATCCAGTACTTGGCAGATCAGTTCTGGATAAGATGGAAAAGAGAGTACCTGCAAAATCAACAGTCTAGATCCAAGTGGGAGAGGAAAGAAACTGACTTAACTGTCGGAGATCTGGTGTTAGTGAAAGATAAAGAACTTCCTCGTAACAAGTGGCAAATGGGAAAGGTAACGGAGTCGATCAAGAGCGAAGACGGGAAAATTAGGAAGGCGAGAATCCTAGGTTGTAAGGATGGAAAAAGCAAATCCGTATTTCGACCAATAACGGAATTAGTGTTACTTCTAGCAGCTCAAAACGGACAGGAAACTGAGTACAAGGATAGACTGTCATAGATATCCTTGGGCGAGGAGTGTGCCATTTTTCGATGTATATAATTATGAAAACATTATTACAGACTGACTTAATTAATATTAACTTTGGCCATTAGAGCCCAGCACGGACACGGTCGTCACCTAGCAACGCTTTGAACGTGGAAGAAAGGGTTTGGTTCGTTTTGTTAGAAAAGAGGAGCATCGATTATACTTTATACTTATACATTTGAGCCTTTAATCGATTCATCTGTTCATCCGCTTCTATCTATAGACATAAGTTGTATATAATACTATAGTTAAATGCGGTTGTATTCGTGTATGTATATTCAAAGTGTTCAATATTTGTATTTTAGTTTTCACCGTACTTTATGCGATAAATAAACATACTCCATAGAAGAGAGCGTATATGGTATGGTTGACACTAGCGAACTCCACTTGTAGAAAGTCTCTACGATGTGGGAACGCGACACTCGCATTCACTAAAAGTGTTGCTTTACAATATCAATCTTTGTCTTAGCTTACGAAAGCAAGTTTAATGTATGATTAATCAAAAAATCCACAAAAAGAGGACAAAACTTTGCCATTCATTGCATGTGCTTGTTTTCGAACAACTATATGAAGCTTTCATGCTGACATTGTGTTCAAAAATTGGTTTGACAGGAATCATAACGAGTAAACAGTAGTATTAATAAGAAGCGATCTTTTAAAATGCCACCGCGACCTAAAAAGCAACTGGATTCAAACAGGATTTTGAGAATTTACTTTGAGCAAACATTTTGCCATTGATAAGTGTGTTGAGCAAAATTAACTAACAGATTTCACGGCAATTCATGAAGTCCATTTGCTCAATTCGTCTATAGATCAGTGATCACTTGGAAGCAGCAGCATGCCGTTCTGTTTGGAGAGTTTGTCATGCTGATATTGACATCGCGAGAAACAAGATTGCTTTGTCTAGATTAAGTGGTTGGGGCAATGAATGGCATTCAATTATTTTTTTCCTGCATCACAAGTGTCATGTGGAACGCCAGATCTGCAATTGACTATGACAATGAATCCATTCTCACGCCAGAAAGCTACCCGGCAATTGGCTACTTCATTGTGTACAAGGAATCATTTACAACGAAGATCTCGACGCAAACGTTACACCAAATCGAGTACGAAGATCATCCGGCAGCAATAATGAAATGGAGAAAGCCGCCAAACAGTTATTCCAAGTGGTCAAGGACCATAACAAGTCGATCCAGGAGATGCTTCAAGTCTCGAACGTTTAGTTTACTGCTACAGAAATTCTGAGCAGTTAGAATTACAGGATTCACAGCAGTTAGAATTACAGGAGTTAGTTGTTTTAAATTTGGCCAACACACAAAGGTTGTCAACTTGGATGAAACACCGCTCTCAACTAATGACGATATTTCTGCCCTGATAAACAAGATTGATAAATGCATGAAGTTATGCGACCACGCCTTGTATCAATCGGAACTTCACACGAAACCAGAGGGGTCAAAATTCGCCTTTGTCAAAATGATGGATGTGACGAGTTACCTGCATAAACTTCTGGCTAACGAAGTGCTACGTGACAAGCTGATTCAGGATTTTCAATCCGTCAATAGACTTCTGTCTCATCGAGCATGCACGATAATTCACCAGATCAAATTTGAGGTCGACCTTATAGAAATATCAGACGGTTATTGTTTCTCCATCAAAGCACGAAAGTTCATTGTCTGCCCCATCCTAGAATCTATGCGTGGAAAGCTGTCGCCAAGATCCTTTGTTCCATATGACAGTTCCAAACCGCTGAATCCTCAATATTTTCGGGATGGTATTATCAACTCCTTTCCCGAAGATTACATGCGAGCGCAGTTCTTGAATAAGTTACACCAGTGCCTTCTTGCCTTCAGCATGCCTCACAAGGTGAGAAAATTGGTTGTGGTTGGTCCCAAAAATTCTGGCAAGACATCATGGTCCAACATCTTCCATTGTGTCATTCATGCCAGCTACATTGCATCACTCACCAATGAGAGACAATTCTCAGCTGCTATGATAAACAATGAGACTCAGCTTGTCGTTGTCGACGAATGGGGTCGGCCAGTACAATGCAACTTTACCTTGCAAAGCGCATCCTTCAAGCAAATGGATGGTCTCTGCAGTGAAGCACAGCCTACCAAAAACAGTGTTGAACAACAGCCCCTTCTACATCAATGAATAACCTTTCAAATTTTGGTAAAGAAGACCAGAACGTGCAGCGCAGAATTGAGATCTTTACAATGACATCACTGCCTCAAACCCTACCAGGAATCGACAAGTGGATATACGACAACGCAATGCATTGTATTGCGTGGATAGCAGAAGAAATTCAAGCAAACCGCGAGTACATCGATCAACACAAGCTGTGGTACGAACCAAATCATTCTGGACCATTGACAATAGCTGCAAACCAAGGCAAAAGTCTGTTCAGCGAAGAACACGTACGGACGTATTTCCAATGCTGATTTGCGCCAGGACATTGATGTCGGTGACAAGCTGTCGCCAACAATCCACTACAGTTTTGCAGCGGAGTTACGTTCGCGACGTCTCACGAACGAAAGAGAAGAGCCACTCGTGGAAGAGTAGACAGCGATGGGCAGCGTAACAACAGTTATGAGTGTAACACCTCCTCCAACGATGATGAGAACTGTGCGAAAAGCATGCAAGAATGCCCGCCGACTGAAGGAAACATTGTCACAGAATGCCCTCGAACAAACTCAACATTACCTATTCACGAAAAATCCAACAAAGAAGACACAATCGGAAGTGAAAGAGACAAAGCGGACAACGCCAACAAAGAAACAACACCGATAACAGTGGAACATCAAGCATTGAACGAAGCATCCCCTGACGAGAACGAGACGAACAGCCACACTATTCACACCAATTCCCCTCCAGCAGGATGGGTATTGAAACAGCAAGTTGTATATCTCGCAAGTAGCATAGTTAATAAGGTATGGCTTCCTAAATGTTCAAAAAGGCGAGCTGTACTCCTTTACTACACAAAGAGACAAGGCCAAGTTAAAGCACACAAGAGAAGAATGTGCATTGTTTGCTGATGATACTGCAATTCATTGACAAATTTAAATATTTTGGCATAATAATTAACGAAATGCTTAAATGGTCTGATCATATTGATTATGTCCAATCGAAGGTCGCAAAGACGCTTGGCTTGCTAAAACGTGTTAAACATTTGTTACTGAGACAATCAAGAGAACCTGTCTATAAAACTGTGATCCAACCTATAGTGGAATATGGAGATATTGTATGATGTGACTGATTTAATAATACCTTGATGGGAAGGCTTTAAGTATTACAAAATAAAGCAGCAAAAGCAATCCTTGATAGACCATTATATTCCTCAGCTAGTGATGCTCTTCAGACTCTTGGATAGAAGTCTTTATCAGAATGTAGACGCTTTCATAGATCGTGTATGGTTTTTAAAAGCTTTAATGCTCTTATAGATTTTAACTTTAATCAAATACGTAGGTCTAATCTTCATCACTATAACACTACTAGATCGGGAAGTGATCTTATCATTCCAGTATATAGAACAAACTGGGGTCAAAGTAAATCAGATTTCCTCTTTATTGATGAATTCAATAAACTACCTAAGTCACGGACTGAAGTAGATTCATATGAGCAATTTACTAAACAGTATTGGTCTCATTCTTTTTAATATGAACATTTATGAACATTTTAGAGAGAGAGAGAGAGAAAGAGAGAGTTATTGATGTGGAACAGTTAAAACTACTGAAACATTTCAAAACAAGGTTATGAAAACTTTATAAATACTTAGTTCGTTCTTAAGTAATGCCAAAGCTGCAAGAACCTATATCTTTACTTTACGCTAGCAGTATTATTAATAATTTAGAATATGTTCCACTTTATGCTGCCTACAAACCAAAAACCCTGACATTCTGTTTTTTTTACGAGGATTTCAATATTCATGAAATAAATTACAATGAATTTAAAGCTGAGTTTCGATTTTATGAAAATTACATTTAAAATTTCATTCATGTACTTCATGTACCTCGGAGCCTGTAGCTCGTGTACCTGATAGATGTACTTCATGTACCTCTGAGAAAAAGGACGAGCTGCAGTTGACTTACAACTTTGTTTACAAGCATTTAGAAGCCCTTGAACAGTCTTTAAAACAACGTCCGAAAGTTGCAGTGAGTTATCAGAAAGAGATTGAAGACCTCCAAAAACTCACCAGCAAAGAGAGGCAACAACCTGAATAGTACCTCCCACATTTTCCTGTAGTTTGTGATGAGAGGTTAACAGTGGCGTAGCCAGTCTGACGATTTTGTCCCGCTATGTAAATTTCGAGTTGTTATAATTATTCATGTCTTTAGAAATCTATTATTTTCTCAGTCAGTGAACACTAAAATATTAGCATAGCGGGACAAATCGACAGGCTGGCTACGCTACTAGAGGTTAACAGTAAAGGTCTGAATAATCTTTGCTGCAGCATCTAATTACCAAGGGAAAAGCCTAAATGATTCTATGCATACTGGTCCTAAGCTACAAAAAGAAGTTTTGGACATTTCGCTACATTTTCGCCACAACAAGATCGCCTTGTCGGGAGATATTAGTGAGATGTTTTTGCAAGTTGGTATAGCTAAAAGTGATCGTCCGTACCACTTATATTAAAGATATTGAAGTCGGAAACATTGTTATATGCATTGATCCAAATCTCCCATGGGGAACTTGGCCTCTTGGCCATGTTTGAAGACGTTTTTATTGGACCAGATGAACAAACATGTTCGCACTGCACATATTAAAATTGGGGAAAAACAGTATGTGCAACCAATAACTCAATTACGCCCATTAGAGATTGCATGAGAATTGAGATGTGAACGTTCTTGTTATTGCCAAAAATAGAAGGGGAGATGTTACGAAGAGCATGAGCAAGAGAGCTTTTGGACATCCCACAACTATTGGGGTGGGGTTGACTGTGTAAATATTCCTTAATAAAAAAGGTAACTTTCGTA